ACTTCCACTTTTACCAGAGTATTTTTTAACACAAGTATCTGTACTTTTATTCAAGTACGGAATGTGAGTACTTTTGCCATCTCTGCCATCAAGTCATCACTTTGTATTCTTACATAATGTGATTATAACTGATAAATTAGTTCACTGTGTGAAACCACAAGCTGCAAACATTCAGTTTGTCACTTTTTGTTTGCTGTGAAGCATCAGTGTTTTACAAGCTTTAATTATTTCACCCTTTAAATTAAGGTTGCCTCTTAGGTGGAGTAATTGAAATAAAAACGAGTTTTTGAAAGTAATTTGTCATTTTTTTTATCATAAAATTTCAGGAAGGAAAAAAATCAACTCATCAGATTTGTTTGGGAAAAGGTTCAGATATTTGTACGCCTTGCTGCTCAGCCATGCTATAAAGTTGCAGAGGAAATTACATCAGAAGATTTCATTCAGAGATCTTTAGTCATAATAGTTTTTTTTTAACTTGTCTTTTATCCACATTGAAGCTCCATTCATTTATGAAATGGTTGTCGATTGTTTACTCAAAGCTGTAATAGAAATAGGGCCGATGCATCAACAGATTATGGTTTTGTCTGTTTTTGGCATCAGCCAATCTGCATATTCACAGGTTCACTAGTGCATTCAACAGAATCTCTCCTAAAGTTTTCTTTGATTTTATGTTTCTCTTTACTGTGATTGTGTAAAATGTGTTAATATATATATATTATATAATAAATAAAAGTCCTGGGTGCACAAAAATTATTTCTAAAAGCATTAAATTAGAGTTACCCTTTCCTGTATAAACCCTGTTATATTCCAACTCTTTAGGAACTACAGGAGCTGGAAACCGCTACTCTGCACAGTATGTGAGAGCTGCCAAGTTGCTGCATTGGAATGGACACTATAAGCCCTGGATGGGAACGTCCTCCTTCACAGAGGTGTGGGACCAGTGGTTCATTCCTGATCCCACAGGGAAGTTTCATCCGGTACGAAGACATGCAGACTGAGGAAAGACAGAAGAAAAAAAAAATCCTCTTCTTGGACCTGCAGAGTTCCCTATGGAGTAAAACGTGTCTCCTTTCACCTCAGGAACTAAGCTAAACCTTTTCCTTCGCCAGCAGTCTTATTCGTCATCCTATGGATTTATGGACTTTTTCTTTCATTGACTTTAATAGCAGTTTGAAACTCAAAGGATTTTGGGTTTCTCAGTCATGAGACCATATTTGAAAAACATGTTTTGTTCTTTTTGTTTGGAGATCCCACAGATGACTGTTATGACTGTGTCCCGGGAGATAGCAGTTTTAGGTATTCATTCAGTTGCTGCCAATGAAGTGCTCCATCGGAACTGTGGGCAGAGACCCCATGTTTTTAACTATATTAGCATTTGGTTGTTAGAAATTGGACAAATAAGGGATCAGAAAAAGTGGATCCAGTGTATTTTAGGAAATAAAAGACTTGTCTATTTACTTTAAGGGATTAGATGCTTAAATGTCTCAAGTGATTTAGTGTAAGATGACAGATTTCACGTTTACAGAGCAGTAATAACGTTAGCAGTTTGTGCTCCCCTATGGCCTTAAAATATTTGAGGGATTTCTTTTGCATGTCAGATTAATCCAGCCTTTTTACCCAGTATGTTAACAACCTAAGCGAACCACTTTTAACTATGTTCTCTGAAGCGGTTATGCTGTCGTACATGAACACTAACCTCTCTTGTTGAGCTGTGGATTTTTAAGACATTAAGATCACTGACAGATCGCCACTGTGTTGCCTCAGATACTGCATGCCCTCTTTGCTTTTTAACCGGTGTGCTGTTCCAAGTGTGTTTTGTACTACATCAATAAAATGTTTCCTGTTTCCTAAACTTTGAAATCACTCCTTTGCACAGAAACCTGGTCGAAGCAGTTTTAACAAGAGAAAACTGCCACATTGTCACTGTAAAGATTTAATAGACTTATAGGTGCAAATCTATATACAGTTATAGATTGAGATCCTACAAATGATCTCCAGTCACACAGGTCTTTTACAAGTACCGGTATATACATAGAAACGCTTCATGGTGCAGTCAGCCACACAGACTGCGATTCTTCTGCACGGAAAATGAGTCCATGAGTTTAAACAGCCCCGTAAGCAAATGGAGCGGTGTTCTTAGGAGTATTTCCATACCATGATGCAGTTTTAGCAGCCATAACGGCTACTTGGCACATCAGATCAAATAGCAGGGAAAACATGCAGGTATTTATGCTCATACCAAATAGACAACTTTGTTTACATCAACCTGTGATGTAATCTGACCAATCAGTTTTTTTCCCCATGGTATCGGCCAGATTCATTTAAGAAAAACTAAATCAGCAGGACTGACTTCAATCACATGGTTTATGAAGCTGTTCGAGATCTTTGTGGCAAAAATATGAGTAAATGTTCATTTAAAATCAGTGTTGAAGTCATAGGCGTCGTCTGTATGAACTGTAGAGAGGCTGATGTCGACAGGGGCAGACTGGAAATGCACTTTCCTGGGTTTATCTGAAACAAGAAGACACATCAACTTACAGCGTTCATCTTTTATTGAACAGATAAAATCTAAATCGAACTAATTACCTTTGACTCTTTTCTGGGGTTTCTCATGTTCCTCCGTTTCGTCCAACTCCTCGGTTTGTTCAGGCTGCAGGAAAAGCAACTGTTTTTAATTTCTTTAAACTTATATTCAAGCAAACTCTATTGATTAACAGCTGGATCAGAGTTGGATTAGAAGTCTCCATGGAACAAATCCAGAATTGCGTTTTTGTCCTCATTTCCAGCAGGCCATAGAAATAGAGTCCGAGTAGATGAATGGTTGGAGTTACCTCATCGTCCTCACTGTTGTCCTGCTCCTCCGGTTCCACGGATGGTTGCTCCTCAGGGATGCTGCTCACGTTCAGCAGACCTGCAGTCGGACCTCTGCAGCCGAAGATCATGCTGCTGGAAAGGCTTGGAAATTTAACACCTGGAAAGAAGAAATCCGTAGCGGAAAAATTCAACATCCAGCAGGTATATTGAGATTTCATTTGACTAACAAAACAGAAAATGTATCTGTCGTTTTTCCTCTGCTCCATGATTAATAAACGAGGGCCGCAACTAACTATTATTTAGCAAATTGATTAATCTGTTATTTTTTCGATCAATAATCAGGTAGCTAAAGCTTCTTAAAATACTTTTTACATATCAAACCATGTGAAACTAATAAGAGCACATTGACAGTTAAAAAATATATTTTTTAAAGTTGTAAGGAAACGTCCGTTCCAACCGTTGCAGTGCCGAATTCTCCCGGGTGGTGCACGACTTTACACGAGTGAATAAACTGAATGTGATTGGTCGATTATCAAGGGGGCGGGATTGTTGTGGCGGAAGGTTCGCAAGCAATTTTGATTGTGGCAGGTTTATCGGAAGCTTCTTGCTAACCAGTTAGCAACTTAGTGCTAGTAGGTTCCCAATAGGAAATTACATTGCGACCAAGTAGCACTAAATTGGTGACTTCGGCTACGTTCACACTGCAGGCTTTGATGCTCATTTCCAAATTTTTTTTTTTGGTGAAATCCGAATTTTTTTTTGCATTGCCGTTCACATTTCTAAATATATGCGACTTGTATGTGATCTCCTGTGCGAACTGCATTTATACAACCTAAGTGTCCCCCATGCACAGTAGAGGACGCAATGACATCATAGGCCCGTGTGCACTGTGTTTATGGAAGTAAACATGGATGGTAGTGCTGGAGAGCATTCAGCGATCTTTTCCAACCTTAAAAACTCAATCTTTCCAAGATGGTTAAAGATAAATACTGCTCTCTGCATCATTGTCCAGCATTTTGGTCGTTTTTCTGCATAGCAAGAAGCAGAAGAGTGACCACTGTCCGGTATTAATGGCATTCAGGTTAGATGGATGCAACATGGCCGTTCAGACACAGGTCGTATTGGAAAAGATCAGATTAGTATCAGATTCAGGACCACATAGCCAAGTGGCCTGGGTTGCATTAGAAAAAAGTTGATCTCCGTTGTTCAGACTGTCATGAAAAGATCAGATACAGCTTGCATATGGGCAAAAAAAGAAAAATCGGATTAAGGTCACCTCAGGCTGCAGTGTGAACGTAGCCTTGGTAATGACACAGTCAAGGAACGCTATGGACAGAAGAAACATGCAAGAGGAGGAGAGATTTGTGTCGGAGGTCATGGATGAGTCTCCTCCGTCTTACATGTTTTATTTAGAGGAGGAAAGCGGGGATGAAGATGTTGTGGAAGAGGGCGGCAGAAGCTTGGTTTGGTGTAGAAGGCTTACAGCCGTACATGTTTGAGCCCTTGCCTCGCAACGCTGCCAGTTCTGTTAGCTCTACGCCTGCTGAAGACACAGACGTCCATCCCCGTGAACACTGGGACGGAACTCAATGGAAAGGAAATGATCCTTATTTCAACCGTTGCGTATATTAGTTGCGACATATGAATCAAGATGCTATGACCAAAAAAAATTAGATTAACAGATGACCGTTGATATATGATTGGCTGAATTTAGGAGTAAAAGCTGACGTATAACTAACTGGCCTGCAGAAGATAACACACACACACAAAAAAAAAAACCGGATTTTAAGACAGGATGTTTTTAAAAATAGAAATTGTCTAACTTTTGGGACAATATGGCCTGATAAAGAGTACATTTATATACATGTTTAAGGCAGAATGATTTGACAATTAGATATGATTTCCCTTCGACTTATTAGTTCAGCATTTCCATAATCGATTTATCATGATTAATCCGATTCTTTCAGCTCTAATATAACACCCTTTTATATTTAGACGCATACCTTTCAGTGTTTCTTTGTTTCCCGCCGTCACTTTATCCAGATCCCAGCCGCTCTGCATCTCAGACACCACCTCGTCAGTCACGTAGACAGGGAGGCTGTAGTTGCTTGGCACTTTACAGTGGTAGCTTAATTTAGCTCTAATGAAACACCAAAGCAGAGATATCTATGTGAGTAAAACTCCACACAGCCTTTTATTCTCGACCAGGAGATGTTTGGATCAGAGTTGGATTAGAAGTCTTCATAGTGAACTCCAGAAATGCATTTTGTCCTCATTTCCAAAAAAATACAGCTACACAGTAAAGAAAAGCCACCCACCCTGTCCAATCAGTGAGGAAAGTGTTGGCTGCCTGCTCTGTGTCTGGAACGCTGCCTTTCTGCAGAAAGCCGCGCTTTTTGGCCAACAGGGTCAAAAACTCCAAGGAATTCCTGAAGTCTGGGATGTTATACTGAAGCATGATCTAAAACAAGAAGGAAAGATAAAGTCCCAATATTCACCAATCAGCTCCCAATCCTCTCTGGATCTATAGCGGCCAGTACCTGCATCTTATCACACTGCTTCAACAACGTATTGACAGCTTCCAGCACGCTCTCCTGACCCTCCTCCACCTGCAGGCTCCTCAGGGTCTTAGAGGCTGCCGGGTTGGACGGCGAAGCCACGACTCCTGGGCTATCCAACAGCTTCACAGCCTTTGATATGTGCACCTCCTGCATGTTTCTGATGGACAGATAAGATAACATTTATTCATGAAGAAATTAAAAATGATATTTTGGCTACATACTCTAACATTTTCTTTTCTCACTTTGTGGTGCCCTTTGCAGCGCCAACATGGCACGCCATCATCCCTTTCAAGCAGTTAATCAGGCTGCTTTTTCCTACATTAGGAAAACCTGAGAGGAAAGAATGGGGTAAAAAAAGCAAACCTGAGAGCTTAATCCAACTACACATTATGTGTCAATAAAAACAGCAACTCTGCAGGGAAGCTTACCAACTATGCCCACTTTGAGAGTGGATTCATTCTGCGTTTTAGCAGCATACGCCGTTAGCAGCTCAGCCAGACATTCGCTGCCAAAGCACACTGCCCCTTTTGACTTGTCAAGGACTTCATTGGAGGCTACGATTTTCCTCCTTCTGGCTTTCTGATGAACAGAGCAACATGTTTACCTTTAAAGTGTCCTCATCAAGTTGAAGATGGAGCATACAAACAGATTTTATTCCAACAATGTTCCACAAACGCACAAATCGGCCCCTTCAACAACAGAGGGGTCAACTCTGCGGCTTGTTGGTTGATTTTGGAGGTTATAACCAGTTCTAACAGCACGGAAACAAGCTGTTCAACCTTCTCAATCCTCCGCATCAGTAAAGAGAAGAGCGTGTCGATCAGTGATTAAAACCTTTAACACAACCAGCCCTGAGCAGCAACTAGTCGGACTCAAAGTCGGCCCATTTGAAGCACAATTAGAGGTTTAAAAATTAAAATAAAAACATTTCCTTGTAAAACATCATCCGTCTTCTACAGAGAGCTAAACTGGCGGGTTTTATTAATCCTCGTCTGCCTCAGGACACCAAATAGTCTAGCTTAGATTTTCTAGATGAATTACATTAAAGCAGTATCAGTATGACTGGATATATGACACAGATTTATCCATTTTACCCTTTTGAGTCTTTAACTTCTGTCATAAAACAGGAGGAATTTGATGTGCATTTTAGCAACTTAAGGGGTTAAAACCAGTGATGCTACTGATCTTTCTTTTAAAACAATCCAAAATTTAAAAATCTAAAGCTCTATTAATGTTGTTTTTTCCCCAATTACTGCAGGATGATACAGACTTCAGATCTTATTAATACATTTTGTGATACTATTGTGATAATGATAAAGAAATAATCAAATAACACTTCTGAAAAAAAAAAAAAAAAAAATTTTAAATATGACACCAGTTTCATAAAAAAGTGCGATTTAGATAATTTAAAGGCCAAAAATTTAATCCCCTTTTTCAAAGTCATCAATAGTTTAATTTACTAACCCATGTCACAAAAACTCATGTTTACTCAGAGCCCGGTTGCTGTAGAGTGATCTTTTTTGCGTCTGGTGTAAATTTCATTTTTCAAACATATGCTGCTTTGTTGAGCTTACACGCCGTTACGCATTCCGTGTATTTACTGCTAAACAATGATGTTTTAGTTGTTATATCTTAAATTCATGACTAATACAAAAAGACAGGGTTCCAATTCAGCAGTGAGGTAAACTGTCGTTCTTATTTATTTAATTTTTTTAAGCAGGACTGAGGCTTAAATTCAGGATCTTTACGGCACAGTTTTTGATCCTTACTAGTTTTTTTTCCTAAAAATAATAACTTTGGTCCTGAAGTGCAAGTCTTACCACAGTTTTGCTGCGGATCTGCGTCGAAGCTTTGAAGGCTACCACTGGAAACTCCCTTTGGAAACACTCCATCCACTTCTCCACATTTTCCTTTGGTACAAGATCTACAGCAGAAAAGAAAGAATTATACTCTTGCAACTGCAAATAAATCTGATTGTTTCTCATTAGGAGGGAGATTATCATGTCTGTTTACCTATTTTTGTTAACACCAAAAGCAATTTCTTGTTGCCTCCCTTAAGCAGAATGGCCTCCTCCAACTGTGGACACCTGCATCCCAGTGGATCCCGGGCATCAAGGACTTCTATCACCACATCAGAAGCGTCTATCACCTGAGAGACCAGATTAGATTCACTTAGTAAACCTGTCAGTGCATCAGAAACGATCCGACTGTAAAATGTGAAGGCTTACCTTGTTCAGCTCAGTACAAAGGTGCTGTTTAGAGTTTTTGTTTGGAGCTGAACGCTTCTCTGCACCATTTGCTTTGGTATCCTAACAATTGGAGACAGATATGGAAAATAAAGCATTAACTAAATATTAAGTTTAATAAACAGATCAAAACAATAAATGGTACATTAAACATATATTTTTAGCAGCTATAGGAATTTCTACATATATTATGGTTTAAATATATTACGTTTTAACCTAAAATCAATGGAGTTATTTAAAGTGATCATACTTCTGATACCATTTTACCCAAAAGGCAACACCCCAATCTGTTAGAGATGCATTACATAGGTGTTGCTCTTTTGTACTTTTTTCGCCTGCCACACATAAAATAAAAGTTGGATAAAAAGATTCAAATGAACACAAGTCCTACATTTATAAATGTAGGAATGAAAATGTACATTAAAATTTTATTTAAAAGCCATTGTGGTCGAGATATTGAACACTCATAAGGGCAGTGATGTCACTGGATGAGGAATCAGCGTATGAGAAGTCATGACAAGTTTTCTTCTCTATTTACCAGTTTTTTTATGTAATACATTTTAATATGAAACATATCAAATCAATAACCAAATAAACACTCTTATTTATCAATGCTGGTGAGAAAATACATTTCTAAAACATTAGTGGCCCTGTCCTGAATTGACCAATCAGGTGACCTGTTACCGTGCGAGCTTTCTTTGCGCTGGGCTCTGCCTGTTTGACAGCATCTTCCTTCTCCTTTTTCCTTTTCTGGGCTCGCTCCTCCTTTTTTATTTGGCGTATTCTCTCTTTTTCTTCTTCAATCTAAGAAAAAACAAATTAAAAAATTCAAACCTACATATAAGAACAATCAACAGACATAAACAAAGCTATATATTGACCTGCAGCCTCCTCTGCTCTGCCTCTCTGAGGACCTCCTCCTTGAAGGGGGCGCTGTTGGGCACTCCGGGATCCTTCTTTACACGTTTTTTCAGTCCCTTCTTTTTAGCCTCTTTTCTTAACTTTCTGTTATGCTCTCTGACCTAAAATCAAAGAAAAGAAAATTACATATTTCCTGTAAATAATGCAGTGTTTGAAAACGCATACATTTATAAAAAAAAAAGTCATTAGAATAGACTTCAGCCATGCAAAAAAAAGTAAAAACCAATTTATCTAAAAGTCAATGAAGCAGACAACATATGGATTAAATATACGGCGACTTACCTTTTTCTGTATTTTATAACGTTTGGCACAGGAGACCCTCTTACTTGCTTTCCGTAACTCTGTAAAAGAGAGCGGAGAGCTCGTTAGCAATGTTAAACCTTGGTTAGCTTGGGGAAAAGCTAATGAAAGCTAACCAACCGTAGCATAATGAACAAACCAACCATCACGGCATTGAATATCAGCTCTTCACTGACCCAATAACAGTGCAGAAAAACACTTACTTGGTCTTTTCATTGTGCCGCTGTGGATCTGCCAATGTGACTGAAGCCTCACACGTGCAAACAGCGAAAGCCAGGTCCTACCTCATTTCCGTTTCAGGCAGGGAGAGCAAAGGTAGCGCTGCCACCTGCTGACCGGAAGGTTTATTACACCTTTTTATCCCCACTGTGTTTATACAGTTTAGCTGTTTACATACACTCCCATTGAAGAAAAATACATTCACTATAGTAATTCAGTTAACATAAAACTGAAAAAAGTAATAATAAATAAAATGTACTAAATAATAATTTTTGAAAATAAAATATTGATTTTGAATGTTTATTTAAAAAATACTAAAAAAACAACAAAACTGTCCCAGAAAATACATTGGCCATGAAAAGTAAACCACCGTACCTGTAAACAGGTGCAGAAAATGTTGCTGAGCAATATTTTAGTTCAGGGGCTCCGTCACACATGTTTTGTTTCAATTTATTTTTATGGCAGCTGATTTTTGGTCTTTAATGGAAGGGTATGTAAAATGTCAAGTAAAAATGTAAGTTTTTCTCACTGTAACCACAAACTTTGCTTTATAGGCATGTTACCCGATAAATTAAGACAACACATATTATAATTGTGAGTTTAAAAGTTAATGATACAAGGTTTAAGACTTGGATTGGATTTTGTCTTTTTTGTTTACACAAGTGTAAAACAAAAAGAAATTTCGTTTGGAACAGCTCTCTGGACAATTTCATCTTTTTTAGAGTTCAGCCTTGAAAAATAGTTAAAAATATATATAAATTTAAACATGTTTTACAAATAAATAATGATGTAAAAAGAAACTTCAATAGAAAGTCTTGGTTTATCATTTGTAGATGGTTGAATGTCTATAAAAATCAGTTTTAAAGTTTTATTGGAGTTCTTGTGCGGTTGTGTCGAGGCTTTGAGGACCCAAATGCAGAGAGGAGTAGGCGCAGATGAGTTTTCGATGATTTAATGAAAGTCCAAGGGGAATAGAAGTAAAAATCCAAAACACACACACTGAAAACCAAACAAAAACCAATAAACGTCAGGGAAAATATTCAAGGGATGCAAGAGACTTGAAAGCAATTAAAAAACATTCACAACACCAGAAACCAGTAATGAGTGAAGGCTCTGCTGCTCTTTTAAGCCCAGCACTCTGATGAGAAAGAAATATCTTCACCTGTGTAGGCTACCCAGGTTCTCCACAAAGATCCTCTCTGGAGAGATGCATAACTCACACTCACTAATACACAGGAGCCCTGACACTGCTGCCTGTTTTTTAAGCATCACTGTGCTGCTGGATGGTGAATCTGCATTGAACTCCCTGCTCTCTTGGAGGTTCTAATAGCTTTTCTTTCATAGTTGCTTTGTACTTACTTTTTTGCCACCAGCATGCTTTATAATTACAATAGTATCTGAAGGGACATGCACCTGATGTTAGTTTTCTAATGGACTGACCATGTTTTCAGGTGGACTTTCTCACTTCAAAATAGATTCAAACTACTTTTAACCACTGATCACAGCAAATATAGCTGCCATTGTTACAGGCAAAGAAGGATAGGGTAGCTCCGCCCAACGCACATCACACCCACTGTTTCCACTACGCAGAGATGCTTCAGCCGCACATCTTGTACAAGCATAAAAAATGAACCAGCATGTGTGTTTTTGCTGCTCTTGTTGCTTTAGGTGTGAGCGTAGCATAACAGCGCTAGCTTCCAACCATGGCGTCCTGCACGAGCATTGGGGGCTCAGTTCGTTCATGTGTCAGGGTACGCACACAGGGCGGAGGGACAAGCAGACGACGATGATTGACGTGTCATGGAACCAATTGTGTACAACAGACCATCTTTTGCGATTGGTTGGGGTTATTCATTGATTTTTCACTGCAGCGGGAACCATTTATTTTAGTTTCACTTCCAGACCTTCTATTTCACTGCTTGCTAAGCGGCTGTGGGGAGATCTTTAAGCCACATGGCAAAAAATCTCCTACTGCACCTTTAAATCCTAATGATAAATATTTATATTACCGTAAAAGGTTTTTAATTAGATAAAATGTGGAACTATAAAAAACATTATTCTAACAAGATAAGAGTTCCTTACTCAGACCTTTAATCAATAATTTGATCAAATTAAACAGCCAGTAATGCTGATTCTGTTAAATTAAATCCTACTGAAAAGAGGTGAATTGAATTGAATAAATTTGGACAGAGCTCTGACATAGCAGCTGCTTTCAACTGAAAGTTTGGAACTGAATAAAGATTAGTCTGGTTAATCACTCTTAGAGATACACTTTGTGTTATCACTTCAGTCATAACATTATTTCTGTGACTACTGCTTGTACAGAGATAAGGTGAAAAAATACCGTCATTTTTAGGGGTTTATAGTACTATTTAGCTTTTCACTTAGCAAAGCAATAACAATGTTTCAATGGTTTCGTTATTACAGTATCAACATTGGGTTTGTTTTTCTTCTCGGATCAACAATCTGACCTCAGCAGGGAATATAAGGCAGTATGTGTGGCCACATACATGTGTTCTTGGTTCAGTTAGTTTCAGTTTATACAGGGAGATTTCAAAATATCCCCTGAGTCATTCACCTTTCCTGCTGTTTCAGATCGGTGTAAAGATAAATGAGCTTTAAAATCTCATCTTAAGCTGTTTTAAATGTTTAGAAGCTTATCTTGTTTCTACAATCATACAGGGGTATCACATTTAATAAGGGGCACTCAATCCAGAGACCACCAGCAGGACTTGCACTTGAGTTTTGAGAACTTCGAATGCATTCGATAAATGAAACAGTGATGCTGAGGCGTTTGCACCAAATTGAAGTAATTCAACATTATAAGGGATTCAATTTTTTATGTAACGATTGCTCCCCAGGTGACAGCCATGTCTTGTGTGCCTGGATTAAATATTAAACCGATTCCAGCTGAAAAAAAAAAGAGCAAATCCACAGTAAGATATGCAGTGAGGCCTGGAGAGGGCAGCGGCAAGCTTTGACACAACTTATCTTAGACTGAAACTAAAACTTCCCCTCAACTGAACAGAAAAGAGAGTAACTACTAATGTTGCACCGATAGCGATACCAGTATCAGGCAGGGCCCCAATCCAGCACTAAAATGGTGGTAACGGCAAGTACCAACAAATAGGGCACAGATACCAATATTTTGTTTCAACTATTGTCACCCATTCCAGATAGGCAATAAAAAGTTCTACTGAATTCACTTTGTATTTGTCTTTTTCCTGCTTCACAAAGGAAGGCAGCAGCTTCACAAAGCCATGATGGCAATTATTTTACATCCAAGTAGTATGCAATTCTTCTTATATACACACACATCAATTTCAAACAGATGGTATTGGTATAGTATCGGCAGATACTGCACAGCCAGGTTTCGGGTATCGGGGCCAAAAAATGGCTTTGGTGCAACACTAGTAGTCACCAGTGTTGCACCGGTGCAACACAAGTGGTCACTAGTGTTGCACCGGTGCAACACTAGTGACTACTAATGAGGTTTACCAAAGCATTTAACAGTAACTTATCAAAGTTGGCTTTCAAGTGAAACAGAAACATCACACTGTGCATATGGGGCTTCATTTCATGTATGCTTCTTTTAATATTTTTTTAGTTCTTTATCCTTTAAAACAACTAGTTAAATTATCAGCACTTTCAATCTTTTTATAATATTAAAAGACATTATTGGCCAGAGTGTGTTTCTGTTCTCATATTATTGGACCTAGTGGACCATGCATGCGGGAAAGGTTTCAACACTCGGTTATTAAAGTATTTCCTGCTCTTAGTGTTCCCTTGACAGTATTGTTTGCTATGTATGCTCATCTGGTATTTCCCCCCTATGATTAGTCAAATCTTTATCTCCTGATCTTGGAATCCCTGGTGGATCGGCAAGTAAAACATCTTGTTTTACTTGCTTTACTTTCCCTGCTTGCTTTCATGCATAAGGAGCCCTGATGAAGTATTGAGCGGAAAACTGCAGAGCCTATCATTTACAAAAAAACAATATTACGGAATTGGTCTTATGTGAAATTTTAATTTTCTGTTTTTTCTATAGCTGCATGTCATAATCACTCCAATTTAACAGAAATAGAGCTTCAATGCATGCAACTTTCAAACGCCAATGCCACACTTCACATTCAGCTTCAGCTTCACATTCTCAGTTTTTTTGCCATTTTGATTAATGAATCCATGTTAAAGGAGGAACACACACCTGCTTGTAAAACTGCTATTGAGATATCAGCTGTCCAAATAATAATAATGATAATAATGAAGCTCTACACATCAAAAATAACTTATAGTAAAATCATTTGAAATTCTAATCTTATCATTTAAGAAAACAGGTTTTAATATGAAGCTAGAATGGCAACGTATTTCCTAGGATGTAAATAGTTTATTAATTCTTAATAGGATTCTCTTATGCTTGTAAAGTACAGGTTGATTACTGGACTTAAGCCACACTCTGAAGATCAGAAACTGTATTTAAGAATGTGTAATAGATAATTAAGTCATAATTAAATCTGACAACCACATAACCTCCACTGGCTTGACTTGGCTTTTTTCAAACAGACAACATGCAGACAATTCAATTAAACTCAAAAATATTTTATTGATCAAAAAGTGAAAAGAAATTATATATATAAAAAAAGTTTTTTCAATGAGTCTTTGTATATGTTTAGAGTTAATAGATTACAATGACCTTCTGTAGTGGTCTGTCTAGCACCGGATTTTGAAAGATCTTTAAAATGGACTTGTCCTTGCTGGAGCCCATAATGATTGATAGAAGAGATGGCTTGAATTTCCTCCTTCTCTTTCTTGTCCTCGCTGCTGCTCTACTTCTTCCACGTCTGCTTTTCAACTCAACTGTAACCTGCGGAAGTAGTTGAAGTAATAATTAATTGTTTGCCATGTTAATGACCTGCTCCAAGGTGTATGAAAAACAATTTGCAGTGGTTACTCATCATGTACTCAATTTCCAAAAATGAAAATAAATTGGCAAAAACCCTTTCAGTGCCACAGCATCCAACACCAGAGATAAAAAATAAAAAAAACTTTAGAAAAAATAGACTTTTATTCACAAATGGAGAAACTTAAGTCCTTAAAAAAACAAACAAACAAAAAAAAAAAAAAAACAACAACAATACACAATAACCTGATCGACGAAAAAGGTTCACCAAAAGACAGAAATCATACTAAAAAGAGATTTCCCAACCACACCAGGATGGAAAACTACCAGGCAACACCAAGGAGAGACAACAAAAAGATAATATGGAATCTTTTGCAGGGTAAAGGTCTAGATTTTGTCATCGCCCTTCTTCCATAACAGGATCTACTTGTGTTGACAACATAGATACCATATCGGTAAAACAAGCTGGGCACCATATGTGGGTCATAGCTATATCTCAAACTTTTGCACTATTTATTTAGAGCCATAAAAGTTGGAGCAGTCATGGTCTACATAATTTTAGTGCACTTTCTACTAGAGGTGCACTGATTTATTAGTTGACCAATCAATTTGCCCTGATTTCCTTTATTTTGATAGGTGAGGGATTGGCTGACACCTAGATATAAAACCGATCTTAACCACCTATCTTACCTACCTCTGAAAAGGTATAAAAATAGGCCACTGTCAATGCTCTAAACTTTTAATTTATATCTGAAAGTGTTGTGATATGCAAATAAAAGAAAGTTTATTAAAGAAAATATGGGTTTTGATCAAAATTCAAATTTTCATTTTGGGCTTTTTAAGAATCGTTATCAGTGATCGACCAGAAAATGACATTTGATGCACATCAACTTCCTACTTTTCTCTTTCATGACAAACTTTATGAATTGACATAGCAACTGTCCACACTGAGGATATTAATCCTAAAATCAGCTGCTTTGATGCAGCAAATCATGCATAATGAGCTCAATCATTGAGGGGATATTTACACAGCATATAATCTTCACTGGTACGTCATTTCTGCATTGATCCCAATTGATATTTCAACTTTTTTTGTAATACAGCTAAATCAGTGCTTCCCAAATATTTTAGGCTGTGACCCATAAAAATTATAATTAAACAGACTGGAGAACCCCTAAAATAAATATTAATTAAATGACTTTACTCTATATTTATTAATGCATATAAACTGAAGTGAGTATATACAATTTTAGCAAGATGTATTTTTTTTTACTGAAATAGTAGTCTTATTTTTTTAATGTATTTATTTGGATATTTCCTTATTAAAATATGCATTTTACAATTCAACGGTCCATTTAATATTTGAATTGGGTAAATAAATGTTCCATATACTTATTTCATGGGACATTCATAATGTTATTCCTTCCATACACCTCAGGGATTACATGGCACTGATTGTAAGAACAATTTTAGGACCTTCCACGTGTCTCCTGATCCCCGTTTGAGTCATGACCCAAACTTTGGGAACCCATGATCTAAATGAACAGAAACAGACCTTAGAGCAGGGGTCTTCTACGTTTTCCAGGCCAAGGACCCCAAAACTGATGGTGAGATGGAGCAGGGACCCCCCTAATTATATATATTGCATGAAATTGTGTTATATCAAACTGGTCCTATAGTCACTCTATTACAGATGGTGTCATGTAACAAAAATAATTTCTCCCTGGGATTATTAAAGTATTTCTGATACTGATTCCTTGTTGATGGGACAGGTGTTGTGAATGAAACGGTGCCCAGCTTGAAAGAGCTCATGTGTGTCTCTGAATGTGTGCATTGATGACTGAAAGACATCTTCTGCCTTCTGTTTACTTGAGTGTGTTTAATTCATGTTAATGTGTATTTAAAGACATTTCAATTAGTGGAAAAAATTGCAGGGGGGAATATAAAAAAGTCTGATCAACCAAAACTTTCATGACCCCCATTGCAGTACCTCTGTGGACCCGCTAGGGGTCACGGGCCCCCTTAATAAGACCTGCCATAGAAGTAAAAATTTGGTATTAATCTTTTTTATCTAAAGTAATGGGAAAAAAGTTAACTTCTAAAGATGGAGCAATAAAGGAGCGGCTCTATGTTTGGTGCAGCAGATGGAGGAGGTTGCCTGGGGCGTTATACGCGCAAAAAGCGCCTCTCCAAGCACTAATGCCTTTAGGCTGCATCAGCAGTGTCATGCACAGATACTCAGACAGCGCTCAGCAGCAGGGGTCGCTTGTAACAGCCCCTATCAAACCACCGCCTCACCTCCACGGCGGCGTGATCACAAGAGGAGGAAGGTTTCACCTGAGCGCCGCGGCTCGAGCGCTGATTGGTCCGCTGGGAGTCCAACCCTAGGGTGACGTCAGCAGGACTGCTGCGGGTGAGTCTGCCTGTCAGAGAGAGGGAGGGAGCGCTCCGATCAGCAGCAGCAGCAGGGACAGACAGGACGGACGCAGTGACTGGACCTCACCGACCGACCCGCACTTTCACCGGTAAGGAGGACTCACCCTGAACTCTCAGCAAATAACTTTATCTGTTACTCTCGGAGGAAGCCAGCAAGGCGTGGCTTGTCTTTTTTTTTATTGCTTTCTTTTTTTTTATTATCCCCACGCAACATTTAACCAGCTTTTCTGTTAAATCTGCTTATGTTTTATACTGCGCTTCATGGACATATGTTAATAAGTCAAAAATGTGCCAGAAAGTCATTTTCTAAGATCCTAATAAGGTCATTAGTCTGCTTTTAAAGAGGACCTCTGTGTAAGGGGCAACTACTGAGATGAAATGCGGTTAGCAGTAAAGTGAGGGTTTTCTCAGTAGTACTGACTCAGAACTACAAAAGTAATTACCAGAGAACATTTTTATAAGGGTGGCAAGGCAATAAGCAATGCACACTGAGGGGTGGCTGAAAGTGAATAGGCACCAGAACCTCAGGGCCAATATATTGCAACAGGAAAATTAACAAGCACAACAGCCATATTTTATAAATAAAAACAAACTATACTTTCCTGCAGCCTTTGCTAACAAATAGACGCATATATTCAAACATCCATGCTGTCTAGATAAAATATATAGTGGATACACTTCTTTCAGGTGTGAGTTCTGGGCCTTTGTCATTACTTACCTACTTTTGTCAACAATTATTCTAAGCACTAATATATACATAAATTGATTATTAAGTTTTTATTAAAATAGTTTTTTTTTTATGATTTCACTGAAGACTCTTAGATGACTTCCAGAGACACATCATTTTCTCTTTATCCCATAGTATAACACAACATCTAGTTCTGAAAAGAGGATGAATTGATGTGCAGAGTTTTTTTTTTTGTCAAGTAATTGTTAAAATTTAAATGTTTTAAATATTCCACTTGAGAGAATTACTGCTGCCACCATCTGTATTAAGAGGGAAAAATGGTAGGGGTGGCCAATGATTGACCATGGCCCTCCCTGGCCCCCCATCTAGCTCCGCCCCTGCTAATTACAACCAGAATGAATGTGGTTTAAGATGGATTTAAACTCTTTTATGTGACTGCTGAGAAATACTTGAAGCTCTGAGTGTTATTAATCCGCGGCTCACTCAGTCACTGCTGTTTCGGAGTTTTTACGATGAGCATTTCTGCTCTGCTTCTAGTATTATAGCTCTTTGCTGTCCTCCTCCTCTTTCAAGTCTTCCTCTTAATTGTGAAGCGTGCTCATCAATTAATAGGCCCACATTAGAAGATTTGTTGTGCGTCATTAACAAAGGCTGACCAATGACCCCCATCATCAGCCAGTGGGTACACAGGGCTGATTGATATGCAGCACTGCTGAGGCACCATGCCAGGCCCTTGAAATCTCTCTTTTTTGTGAATCAAACAACAAGTCATGATGGGAGAGACTTGAGTTAATGAACTGTGAATCATACAGTTTTTTTTTCTGTGTTGTGTTCTGGGAAATAAGGATGTTGCATTTGGCGTGTCAGAGGAAAGCCCGCTGCTCGCCCACTGCTGTGGAGGCCTTGAGGTTCTGACTTTAACAGCTTGATAATCGTTTTTAGTGTTGTTTTTTTATGAGATATGTGAATGGAGCTCTCTGTCTTGTTGACTTTGGCTGTGTTGAGCTTCTTGTTTCATTTTATCTGAATGTTTTTGGTTGCTTAAGATTTCCTCAGAAACAATAGATATCTAAGGTGATAGGATGTGAAATATGATCTGATGACTGATCATATCGGTCCAGCTCAATCATGTTACTAAAATATTTTTTCCAATTGTTTTTCAACGTGCAATGCCTTAAATACCCAAACTTAACATGTCCTCTGTTTTTTTTGTTTTTTTGTTTTGTTGTTGTTGTCACAAAGATAACCGCAGTAAATACCAAGGAATTGTTTTGTATTTTTTATTTATTTTTGGCTTGCTTTCAGTGATTTAAAGTTAGATTTTCAGTTCTAAATCACAGTCCTGTTTTACCCCAGTATGCTTGGTAGGGGTGTGCAAAATAATCGTGATGATGATGCATCGTGATTCTAATTTTCGTGATCTACTGCATCGATTCTTGATGCCAAGTATCGATTATTAATTTAAAAAGATGAATAAATAAAATTGCATGAATGGTTGGCGAACATCAGCCAAAAACAAGTGTAATACAACTTCCAGTCCAGTAGATGTCGCAGCGGATGTGTTGACACACGCTGCCTTGTGTCACAAGCATTTCCGGCAGCAGGATACTGTGCAGAGTCATTCAAAAACTATAAATATTGCAATGCATCGCAATAATTCAAGTATCGTGATGCATCGTGATAGAATCGCATCGTGGCCTGTGAATCGTGATTCGAATCGAATCGTGACTTCTTTGGCAATACCCACCCCTAATGCTTGGGCATAAGGTCGCAAATTGATGGTTGGACCAGGTATGGGCTGGTAACCAGTTTTAAGGTATACCCTGATATGAAAAAGTCAAAGCAGAAGTTTTCTGTCATGGTTTCTGCAGTATAAGTATTTAAAGAAAAATCTCTTCAGAGATGATGCTCAGGTTGTGAGCAGCTGCAGCATCATGACCCTCCTCCCTGCACACCCCTGTGTAGCTCCAAACTTCCACCTGTCTTTCATCCTTTACGCTCTATGTGCCCTAGGTGCAATAAAACAATGGGAACCATAAAGCAGTAAATCTAATACGTTCCTATGCATAATTAAATACATTCAAGGTAAAGTTTAAGTCTTAAAAAAAAATCAAGCTACCTTTATTTCAGGCATTAGTGAAAGAAATCCCAGCATTTTACTGAGGCAGACAGCTTGGCGATTGTGCAGCAAAACAGCCCAAAACCATCACAGTATCACAACCATATCTGATTGCCATTTATATTTAGAGATGGACTGCTACCTTGGATATTTTGTGCCAAAATTGGCATTTTTGTTCTTGTGACGTTATCGGCCGACATGTGCATGTGTTCACCGATTCCTTGGTGTGTTCAGGAGCATTCCCTAAGATCATAGAAGGCACATGCATTGCCACTCCTTCCATTTGCTTTCTGTTGTTAACTTTTTGTTTAATTTGTTAATAAATGTTTTTTTTTGTTTGAATTGAGGCTTGAGTAACATTTGTTATGATTGTAATTTGGCAATATGGACTCCAAGAATCAGCCAAAAATACTGGCAGCACAAAAACGGATATAGGTTGGACTATTTCAAAATAATGGTTATCAGCCTTAAACAACATTATCGGTTGATATCTTATGTTGTTCTTATTGTAAAATTCCATCTTAGATTTACGAATATAATGGGACACACCCTTTCATAAATTTCTACTTCTGTTTCATCAATATCTGACCAAATATTGTGAAAAATCAGAAGGAAAATCAGAAAAAAACCTTTATGTACATTTAGTTTTTTTTTTTCTATTGGAGCTCTCCCATGTATACCAGTCACCTCCCACAATCTCTCTGATTTAGAAAAAAAAAAAAAATAATAATAATTTTTAGATGCATTTCATGCTTTTTCTGGGGTTCCTCTTCAAGATGATCTGTAAATGTTCTCTGGCATTTTTGTTCTATTATTGCTGCAGGGACAATACCTTTCATAATTGTAAATTTGCAAAAAAATATTTACATGATAAAAATATAATTCAGCAATGAAACTCCTTAATATAAAATGTTTTTTAACAATATATTCTTTCAAAATGTTTTTTGTCAATTTCAATTATTTTTGATTTTGCATATTGTAATTTTTTTGAAACCTATATAAGCTGTATTTAAAAAAAAAATTGAAAAATTGTTTTTTTTTTTAAGTGTCCTCTCTTGCAATAGAAAAAAAATGTTGAACAGATTTAATGTACTTCCAAATGTTATTTTTTATGAATTGCATTATTTTCTAATTGCCTTTTACAGATCATATTCTCTACTCTTTTAGCCCAATACAAATGCTATAGCTCTTCACCAATAAAAATGTTGCTGCTAGGCTTCATGCAGACCAATAGAAATGCATCTTTCCTCTTCACCTGAGCAAAGCTGCCCCCAGAATTGAGTAAAAATTTGATCTGTAAAATGTAATAAAAAATGCAATTTGTACAAGTCAATCGATAAAAGAGAAATTTTAAAAGTAAAAATTGAAAATATAAAACCTGTAAAAAAAAACTAAAAAAAAAAAAAAACCCACCACAAATCAAATCAAACAAAAAAGTTTTTTCAAAGTTTCATTTCTGGATGGCATTTTTTTTTAACAGTTCTAAATGAAAAAAGTCTGCTAGAAACAATAATGGAACCAAGACCAGCCCCTCTCTTTAAGGTTAACCGCAGTTCCAGTGTGTCAAAGCTTTGAACAAGACTCACTTCACAGACCAACATGTCAGGGTTTAGTTGTATTTTTTGTTTCTTTTAAACTTCCACTTAATATTGGCAGAAAATGTCTTTGGTCTGCCATATGCAGGCCTTGGTGTTATCTTATCTTTTTCAGTTTATTTTGTTTGAAGATACAAGTTTCTTTGAAAATAGGAAACATTTATCTGATGGAAAGCAAAAAGCATTAGAAATCTGTCAAGGAAAAATATCCTTTCACAGCACTGTGTATATAAAAAAATATCGACCTGCTAATTAAACTAATTGGGCATTAATTGATTGAAAAAGCTTTTATCTCTGGCTTAATTACTAGAGATCCAGCAAAGCTTTTAAAAGTGCATACTGATTTTTAGTTTCCTTTGAAGTTTCATTTGCAAATCTTCTTTTAAAAACAAAAACTCTTTATAAACTTATCTTTACATGTTTTTTTATGCTATGATTGAAAGCTTTGTTTATAATAAGTCAAAATCTTTTTTTTTTTGTTCTATAGACTAAAAAATTGTTTTTATTATTACTCACCTCACAGTGTGTAAAATGTTATCATATTTTTGACATCTTGACCCACGAACAGATGGAAAGTGTATGCAATGTTAATTTTGCTTTAATTGGAACCATGCAACTTAAAACAATAAGACAAAGTGACAATATTTCAGAGTTAACTGCTAAATCTGGCATTTTGTCATGCTCATC